ATAACCTAACCTTATATATATATATATATATATATATATATATATATATATATATATATATATATATATATATATATATATACACCTTAAAAAACATTTACAAGATTTTGCTGAATTTTAAGAGGTACAACCCTTAAACAGCATTTACAACAACTTTATGCATTTCCAAAAATCATATCTTATCAACCGACCATTGAAAAAGTCAGATTAAATAATACCAGATCACCTACGTTCTTGGTCAATGGCAGTTGTTCATCATCCCTCAATCTTTGCTCAACTCTGATTTAATTGAAATTTTGAATTGAACTCTCTTTAACAATCTATTTAAAAACCCTAGCACCCATTTCAACTTTCATTGCCTCCTCTTCTTTCTCTCTCCTGTCATCCATGTTTTCTCTCCAAACTCTGGGCAAGGGCAAGTGCAACGACAAATCTTACATCATAGAGCTTTCATCGGTAAATTGATGTCCCTTCCCCGCTTCTGTTCTTGAATCTATGGGAGTTTATTTTGTTTCGTTTGAGTTTTGTGTCTGTTACTACTTATAAACCATGGTTGCTAATGTTATTTTCACCTACAGAACTTCCACAAATACCGCCCTATTTTGTGTTTTGGGGTTTTTTTTTGAAGACTATCGACGAGCACCACCGCTCCATTTCTAAGGAAGCATAACAACCACCACCAGTCTCTGCCACCGTCACCATTGATGTCTTCCAGCCATCGGTTCTAGTTAAGAACAAAAATATCAACCTTTATCTTTTCCTACTCTTATTCTCCAGATGCCCCTCTCCAATCTGTTGAAGTTATCAACAATGGCATTTCGAACTTTCAATCACATACTACACTCTCAATGGGATTCAAATTTGAAATTGGATTTCATTCTTTGTTTGACAAAGCATTCTCTGGATTTCCCCCAATATCGACAAATATGTCTCAATTCTCACCCACCTTCCATTTTATCTGGCCTCCTTCGTTCTATTCTCTAAAAACCCTATCGACTCTCTTTTTCACAAAACCCCGCCATTGTTCCTTTTCTTTGTATACACATATTTGGTAAGATGACCATTAATAAGCATTCTCTTGATTTTGTATTTTGCAGTTATCTTTTTTGATTTTGTCTCTAGACTCGATTACATGTATGAAAACGCTCCTGTTTCCTCATTTTTTCCCCTTTCGGTAAGTTTAACCTGTTGTTTTTTTTCATTATTATTATCTGTTTATAGAGATTTCAGTTTTCAGCTACATATGAGGTTCATGATCTATAAAACATAATGTTTTGAAGATCAAATATGGGTTTAGTATTTGGAAAAGAGGTATCGATCGAAATAATGAGGACAACGCCATCTCATCTTTCTCTAAAAATATAGATAAACTGATACATGTTGCAACCGGTGTATTTCATGTTGTGAACAGTTGCAACCAAAAGGAATATTTATCGTATCATTGGCTTTTTCTGTGAACATTAGTCAACTACAAGGTATGATAAGTCATCACTCGATGTATTTCATGCTGAAGTTCTAAATTTGCCTATTTGCTTTATTATTTTTGTAGGCCTTCCTCTTTCTCTATGTGTGTGTATGTGTGTGTTTGCATACATATAAGCCATCACCATGGTTTTCCATCCTATGATGGAAGAGAAACAAATCTATGGTTTGATTTTGCATATATGAACAAAGTTTGGTTTGATTTGTGTATGATTGATTTAGTTTCTTCTTGATTTGGTTTACAAGCGGTACTTTTATTCTTGATTTGGTTTACACAGACTTTTCCCTATTTAGATATGTTACTTTCTTCTTGATTTGGCTTACAATAAGTTCTTACTTTTTACAAAATTGTGTGATTTTCTAAAGGTTTTGCAACAACTGGGAAATATGTACTACACATCATCTACATGTTTCATGGTGAAGTATCAAATTTATCAAGTCAATATCATCATCATCATGTATCCCTCTGCTGGTGTTGTTTTCAGAAGTTGGTGAGTTAAAAAGGTACTCAATCCATTATGATAGAAGTAGAAGATCATAGGTGCATTACGTTAAAATGTGAAAATTCCTTTCCAGGGATATTTTTATCTTCTAATCTCATCAAATTTTCTTCTTAAAAGGTGGTTTATATGTGTCATGCAGTTGGATCCATGAAGATATATAAAAATGTACAACTTGATGGAACAACCATGAGACTTGATGCAAAAGGGTACAAGCCCTAGATTTTGTTTTATCTTCGAGATGAAAATAAAGGTATTTAAGTTCTGAACTCATGGCCTCCTGTCTTTATATGCTTCTTAAAGACCTGATCATCGCTAATAATGGGTTTGTCCCCCTAACTCCTCGAATTTGCATATTTATAATTGACATTCAAGTAAATTGATGACTTAATGTCAATTAAGCCATTTTTATGGGGTTTTTGTTTATTTATTTATTATTATTATTTTTTTACTACAGGTTAGAAGAACATCTCTAATGATCAAGGCAACATGATGTCAAAAGTTTTTTAAGTTTGTAAAACTTGATGCATTCATTTGTGGGTGTATAATGTTATTAAGTTAAGACTTAAAAAAAAGTATAATACCCTGATTTGAAAGAATTTGAAGGGACATTTTTTCTAGATGATACCCGACATCATATGGTTGATCCTTACCTGTTGTCCCAGAAAATTCAAAACTTTTTGTTAACTTATCTACTTTTGTTTTTTTCCCCCTAAATTGACATTCATTTCCTGGATACATAAGTTAACAAAAAGTTTTGAATTTTCTGGGAGAACAGGTAAGGATCAACCATATGATGTCGGGTTTTATGACTTTTCTATATATGAATGGTAAGTTGTAGATTTGATTACTCAATGTTAGTGAATTTGTGGTTTGCTGCAGATGATCGAGATGTTGATGGCTATAATTTTGATGGTTTTTGCTGGAGGGGAAAGGCTTGCCAAAACAGTTCAAGTCTATTAGAATTGATGTTGGTGTTATCTACGATACAATAATTAACCAATTAATGGAAGTATATTGCTATTACATTTAGCCATTTGTTTTTTATTTGTATATTTGTATAACCAACCATTTGTTTTATTAGTGGTCATGGTATTCCTCTAATATTTGCATGAATGTATCTTTGAATAACAAATTTCAATTTGCTCTAATAGTTTTGATTTGGTCACCGTAAAAGAGTTAGATACAAGTTTACATGTCATAACCAAATGAGTTTTTGAAAATGTAGGAATCGAGGATAAGATTTCATTTGAAGTTTTATATTTTATATTTATGGATTGGTTTTTATTAATTGTGACAGTAAGATATTTTTAGTTTTAAATGCTACAATAAATAGTTCTATAATATTACACATAAAACACGTTTAATACACATGTTCTTCGGATTTGACTTTAAACCAAAACAGTTAAACCAAAAATTAATTAAACCAAACTTTTTACGGTGAGATTTTAGTTGTTATTTTATTTATTAATCTGTCATTAAAGAATGATTTAAAAAAACAGTTAATAAATTTTTAGTTTTATAAAAAAGCAAATATAGTTTGAATTTGTTTAATCGCAAATACCTTTCTTACTATTTAATTAATAAACTTTGAATTATTAAGAAAATTTTAACAAGATGAATATGTCACTAAATTATATAATATGATTAAACCACAAAACCAAAAACTAATTAAGCTTCTTTGAATACAAATTTTCAATATAATCAAAAAATCAACCATTAAATGATTAAACCACAAAACCAAAAACATTGAATAAACAAATGTTTATTATCAAATCATTTATTCAATCAAATATTTGTATGAAAGTTTTACTCTGCTAATCTTAATCGCATAAAAAAACTAATTTATTAAAGAAACTAAACGTACCCGTCGCTTAGCGCGGGTAAACGGCTAGTGTGTGTATATATATATATATATATATATATATATATATATATATATATATATATATATATATATATATATATATATATAGTGTGTGTGTGTGACAGATTATAAGTGGAGCGAATTGACAATGATCTATCTAACCCATTTAATTTAAAGGTAACAGGTATTAATCGTCAACGGATAAATAAATTGAAAATTAAAATCCAAAGCCATTAAATTTTTAGGTTTGGGGTGAATCAACGTCAAAACTCACCTCATTAACATATCTTGCCCATGTTACATATGGATGTTACATATGGAAAACTTGTGTGATTGACTACACTGGCGAAGGTCTTTGGCGAGAATAGAGAAGGGTAGAACTTGATATCGAGTCTTGAGAGACGAGAGTACCAATTGGCAATTGCATTGCATTGCATTGCATACCATTTTTTATGATATTTATTTATTAGAAAATTTACACAACATATTTCCAGAGAATTTCGATGTATTTTATTTAGCAAGTATTTATAGCACATGAAAAAAAAAAAACTTTAAAAAAAGATGACATTTTTTTATATTGTTTAATTTTGTAGAAAATGAAAAAATAAAAAAATTTAAAGAGTTAACATATTTTTATGTTGTTTAAGTTTTGTGGAACTCAATTAGGGGTGCAAACGAGCCAAACTACTCGAGATCGAATCGTTAAAAGTTCGACTCGAGATCAATTTTAAACGAGCCTGATCGAGCTCGAGCTTAATATTAGGTTTGTTTATTAAACGAGCTCAAGCTCGAACCTCTGTTCCTTGGCTCAATTAGGCTCGCGAGCCTAAACAAACCTACATATATATAATAAAAACATTATTTTTATTTTTATATATTAAAAATACATAATTATTTAATAAATACCATTTTAGAAAATTAGAGCATACCATAAACGAACTGACCCAAATCGAGCCCGAGCCCATACAATTCTTGACGAACCAATCTCGAACTTTGTATTACAAGGCTCGAAACGAACCGAATTCAAACCTATAAATATTTAAACGAGTCGAGCCCGAGCCTAGTCAGGCTCGAGCTCAGCTTGGATCGTTTGTTTAAATTTTGTGAAACTCACTGGACCAGCACTGGTAGTTGACGTTAGTATTTTCAGTTTTATATATTTGACGTTAATTAGTACGTTTTCATTTCATTATAAAACTTTAATTTTATGTAAACTTAGTTATAGGCTATTTGAATGGTATTTTATTTTTATTATTAGCAGAAAAAATATATTAAAAAAAAAACTATCTTTGGCTTAAAATAATTGGATTTCCAAATTTTAGGTGGTTGTCTGACTGTCTTCTTGCATATTTGCTCGAATTCTCGAAAGACGGCAGGTTTGCAACAAAAAAAGTTAAATACGATGTTGCATAAAAATAGTGAGTGAATGAATACAAGGGCATCATCAATCATCATCAGCTGCTATGGCTATGGCCTTTTGACTTGGTGAGGGTTTTAATCAATCCTTTGGCGATCTTCCGAAACCAAATCAAATTCATCGCCGCCAACGCCGGCGGAATCGTCAGCAAGCTGTAATACCCCATCGGATAAACTTGGTTCACCTGAAACCAACACACAACAAAAAGGGCGGTCAACGGTGGTTCCGACTTCCGACTATCAAAAATCCATGAGGTTCAAGCAATTTTACCTGATCAAAATGTGTAAACATGTGGTAGAAAAAGTAGACGAACAAGATGACTCTTGCAACCTGCATAAATTGAATAGATTTATCCCATTAACCGATTTTTGTGTTTTTTTGTCAACTAACCCTAATTTTCGAGGGCACGACAGACTTACCAACCACCCTGCAAACATTGCGACGCCATTCAACACGTAAAGCGTCGAGTTCTTCTTACCAGCGATATCCAGATACCTGCATTTGCATAAGCATATCTTTCTTATGATCGATTTCTGGACTTTGAATGCGAAAATATACATGGTGCTTTGAAGCGTTACCATCTTAGGTTGACAAAGGGTGTGGTGATCTCCGTGAAAAGAACGATTAGGATGTAGAACTGAACTTGGCCGCTTAAAAGGGCTTGACCCATGGCCAACATAGAGAGCCCATGGTGCAATATCTGCGACAACATGAATTATGGAATCAAAACAAAATGTCTTGAATATCATTTTAAAAGTATTTCTTATAATTTAGAAAATAATTTTATAATAAAATTACATGTAAATTACCAATTTGGTCTCTTCCAGGTTTAATACAAGGGCAGAATAGTTATTTCCGGGTTTAATACAATGTTAAAATGGTCATTTTAACCGATGAAAATAGTCGAATTTAACGCTCCAACAATATGAATTCATAGAGGCAAATTTGCAAACAAAACAAAACAAACTTGCAAAAAATGGTATAGTATATGGACCAAATTTATAATTTACTTTTTGGATTAATTTCAAAGGCAAAATTCAATTCAAGGGCATAATGATCATTTAACGCCGTCGTATTAGACCGAATTTAATGTGAATGGCACCAATTTAATAGTTAGTTGGCCTACTTTGATCACTTTATAGTTGGGTAGAGGAGGCCCTAAAACATATTATAAATGAGTAACAAACTATATGTTTTTTTTTACACAACATCAATGACCATTTTTTCTACAAAAAGTACCTTAAATGGTTAATTTGTGAAAAAAATAAAAAGTTCGTTATCTATTTATGACATTAACAAGGGCCACAAGCTTCCATGAGCCTATGAAGGCAATTGTATACTTACATATTCGAAACCCCCTAAAGTTGGATATGTCCATATAATCATCGCCAAATCCGACAAGAAATAACCAATAGACATCTGCAACAATACCACAACAAATGAAACACGTATTTGATTTTAATAGGGATAGAACTTAATCTGGTAAGCTATATATGAGCATCTATTAAATTTTGACTCAATGCATTTAACTAATTTCACAAAAAAGGTTACAGAAATGAGGACTAAATACCGCAAGTAAAGTGTCCAATGATGCAGATGATCGGTTGATGAGCAACACTTGTTGGTTTTGGGTGTTCTCATCGAAAAGATCTGAGAAGACCAAAAAGTACAGAGCACCAATGGCTGCAAAAATTGCATGGAAAGTCGAGAAGCCACTAAAAAACACAAGTTATAAGATCAAGTTAGTTAGCTAACATAATGATTCTCTAGGTAACAAAATGCTTAGAAAAATATGATAAGGAATATAACCGGTTTTTCCATTCAAGTTTCTTGGAGTTTTCAAGTTTGATAAAACCTTTGAACATCAGGGGACTAATTATGCCGGTTAATTCATACGCCTTCAACACATAAAAACATAACACCCTTTTAGAATTCAATTAAAATTAAATCAGATCAAGATATAAACATTAAAAAAAGAGGTGTTTGGATGTCTACTGCTACATTCATTTTTCAACTAAGAATTCAAGAACAATATTAACGGAGGAACACATTATTGAATGAAATTGCAATTTAATCTTGTTATAAGAGTTAAGAAGGCATATGATCACTACCTAAAATTCGAACTGACAAAGCTACCGAGGAAAAATTCTTACAAATTTACACATCACAAAGCCCCCAAAAATTGAAGACAACCACAGAATTTGGTTGCTCGGAGTAGCATGCTCGGCAATGATGCTAAAACCAGTTCTTGCTTCCATGGAGGATTTCTTAAAAAAAACTGCAACAAAAAGCATACATAAACAACAAAAAAGGTTAACAACAAATAAAACCCAATTCAAGATCCAAAGAGTTGTATAAACCCGCAACAAAAACTTGCATAAGCGGTGATTATAAACTTACTGGGGTTTGTGATCTGTAGAAGGTGCCGATTTAGGTGGAACGAAACCCTCGGTCTGGTTATGAGGAAAAGTAAGTGTGGAAAGGAGAGAGATTACTGGAGGAGGTTTTAACTATTAAAGGAAAGGAATTGACAGAAGATTGTATAGGAATGAGAAACGTAACGAAAGGAATTTTGAAATGGGGTGAATTGGGGGAAAAGAAAACTTGCAGGAAGATGCAAAGAGACAGAGTAGAGAGATGACGTTGTTAGCTGGGATTACACAGTTGGAGGTGGAAGACGACCGCACAAGTTTTCCCACTTTTGACCCCTAAAAGAATGTGTGGGGGCTCATGCTAATCCAAGCCTTTACAAGCGTCTTTTTCAAATTCATAATTTCTAATTTTAAAATAATATCCGGTAAACTAAATAAAGGAATCTTTAATAATCAATTAAAATTATTTTTATTACCTTCAAATCCAAAATGTTGAATATTTTTGGTTTTTCAACTATAGTAATTTATCTTTACTTTTTCTTATGTTTTTAACTTTTTCTTTTTAGATTTAGTAAAAACAATATAATTGATTAAAATCTCAAAATTTTCTTTGTATTTCGAACATCATCTTGAGAATTGAAGAAATATTATTATTTCTCTTCAAGTTTACTTTGATATCCAAGATTTGAATCACACACACACACATATATATATATATATATATATATATATATATATATATATATATATATATAATTGGAAAAAAATACGTTTTATATGACATAAACTCAAAAAGTTAGTCCAAAACAAAATTGTTTTAGTTCTAAATGTCATATTCCAGATAGTCATTTTTTTTTAAATATCTTAAAAGTTAAGTATACAACTTTACATTTTTATGTGATTTAATTATGATTTTTATAGTTGATAAAACCAAAATTTAAAAGTAAGGAATGACTTAGAAAAGTGATAATAGAACAAAATTTTGGATAAATGTAAAGTTATCTACTTATTTATAGTTTTTTTATTATAACTTTTGAACTCATGACAATTATTGTTCATAAGTATAAAGTTAGAGTATGTAATTTTTAATTTTATATATTTTTTATCCTAAAGCTTAAAATATTGAATTATAACAATCCCAATCGGGACACTTTGAACGATCTTAAATAAGGTAAATAGGCCGTATTTATTATGCAACAACTCGCTATGATTACAATATGCCAACTCCCTTATTTATTTATTTACTAAATTAAATAAACCTCAAACATATTTTCCTTGGAAATGATTGAGCTACGCTAAAACAGTTTATATAAAAATAATAATTTTAGATCAGCTTTTTATATAATATTTATTAGGTGTGAAAAAGTTTAATATAAAATTATAAATATTACATATTTTATTTAAAGTAATAATTTTTTTATATATATAAAGAAAATAATGAATAAAATAAATAATGTAATATATTCTACAACATTTATTCTGAAATTTAATAAAATAAACTACCTTATATATATAAACCTTCCTTAGGATATGAATTTTAAATTAAAAAAATAAACAATACAAGAATATGACCTATAAAAAAAATCTAAAACGTGATATATTTCCTCTAACAAAGAAAAGTTTTTTTTTGTCATATTTGTGGTTATTTTGAATTAATTTTTTTTTCCACATGTCATTTTACGGGTTTTTATTTACTTAAATAAATTTCATGTAATAATTTAATATAATGATTATAATAAATGAATATCAATTTAATTAATATAATTACCATTTTATTTTAAAATTCTTAAATTAAAATTCATTAGTTTATTTTGTTCTTATTTCAATTTTAACAAGCTATTATTTTTTTTTAAAATAAATCTAAAGTTCTTAAATATTTAAACTTTTATATTTAATTTTTTTTAATTAACTTATGAAATATTTTGGCCTTACACCTAATGTTAAATTATTTAGTAATATAACATTTAATAAAAATGATTTTAATTATTTACTAGGTTAGATTTAATTACCCTATTATAAATAACTGAAAAATCTATAACACATATTAATGAGCAATGACACATTCAAACACCCAACTTCGTGGTTGATACGAGATGATTGTTTCGATTATGTATATAAAACAAGTTTTACGAAATCAAAAAAGATTCAAGTTAATTACTTTATAATAAAAAGTAGGGCTAATGTCATAAAAACCCTCAAGTTTTTAGGGTTTTGTTGGTTTTACCTAAAGTTGAATTTTATATCCGTTTTTACCCTAACATTTTCGAAAAAATGTTCGGTTTTACCCTTTTACCGGTGATAACAGGTGACCATTATATTAGTTTCGCATAAAAACTCTTAAGTTTATAGTTTTTTACGTTTTTACCCTTAAGTTTATATTTTTTTCTACACTTTTACCTTTTTTTTTTTTTCATATTAAATGTATTCATGCAGAAAATTTATTTCTTCATATATATATATATATATATATATATATATATATATATATATATATATATATATATATGTGTGTGTGTGTGTGTGTGTATGTGTGTATGAGTTTTTTCTTGGATAAACCATTTAAGATGTAAAAAAACGCAAATTAATATGTTTTTTGAACTACAAGTACATATATATATATATATATATATATATATATATATATATATATATATATATGTATATAATCTTAGAAGTGTAAATATGTATTTTGATATTTGTTTTTTTAAATATAAATATATTTTTAGAAGTATATATACATATTTATATATAATAATGTAAAAATATGTATTTATACTTCTAAAAACTATATCTATAAAACACGTATTCATAATTCTAAAAATATTATTTATCTTTTTAAATGGTATAACCTTGCAAACACACACACACACACACACATATATATATATATATATATATATATATATATATATATATATATATATATATATATATATATATATATATATATATATATATAACATTAAAGAAATATAAATACAATATTTAATTAAACATTTTTTCGTATATAAATACGATTTTTCTACAAGAATACGTATATTATGAAAAAAAATACTTAGAGTAAAAGTGTAGAAAAGTTATAAACTTAAGAGTAAAAACGCAAAAAAAATAACCTTAAGGATTTTTTTGCGAATTTAATATAATGGTAACCTGGAAAATATGTTATTACCGGTAAAAAGGTAAAACTGAACATTTTTTCGAAAATGTTATGGTAAAAACGGATATAAAATTCAACTTTGGGCAAAACCGACAAAATCCTGTAAATTTGAGGGTTTTATGACATTAACCCTTAAAAAGTATAGCATTCTTAGTTTAGATAACTTTTTAAATCAAATTCAATTCATTTTCCTGTAAATAGCGATGCAACCCCTTGTACCTATCATCGTTTTCATTGGTTCCCTCTTATGAGTTTTCTTTCCAACGGATAGACCATACTCATAAATACACATATGCTCTATTCAAACGTTGCTGACGGAATTAATGCACATGGCCGTCCTTCATAGCGTGTGGGGGCACCACACGACACTCGTTCTAATAAGTAATTTTTTAGTGTATATATATATATATATATATATATATATATATATATATATATATATATATATATATATATATATATATATATATATATATATATATATATATATATATATATATATATATATATATGTGGGTAAGTGAATATACCTAACAACCTTATATAAGCTTAGGTACCTAACCACATTATACTACATTGTTTTGCATTATATTTCCATTGCAATCGTCTAACGTTCTTAAACTTCAACCATTAACTTGATTTACTTCCAAGATTTCTAGACATTCATCATTATATTTTTCATACATCATTTGATTTGTAACGGTAGTATATGAAGCCCACCAGGGGGTCTTCGATAGAAAGACGTCATTTGAAAATAGATAATGGTGAAATTCCAAAGATTTTGGTAGCAATTAAGTTATGAGGTTGAATTTTAAGAAGTTTGGGTGATTACAATGCAAATATGATACAAAATTACATAGTATGATGTGGTTAGGTACCTAAGCTTATATAAGGTTGTTAGGTATATTCACTTTACCTTATATATATATATATATATATATATATATATATATATATATATATATATATATATATATATATATATATATATCCGGTAAGAAATTTATTTTTGGTAGAAGGTAAGAAGTTTTTTTTTTTTTTTTTTCTACGTATTTTTTTGACGAACAAAATAAATGAATCACTAGATGATTTATTTATAAGATGATTTACAAGAAAAAAAATTATCAAAAAAACATCTTTATGATTCATTTTTAAGTAAATTAAGAAAAAATTCATTTTTATGACAATTTTAGTGTATAACAACAAAATCATTGTATAAATAAATCATCGAGATGTTTTTTTTCAGAATTTTTTCTTGTGAATCATTTTACAAATGAATCATCTAATGATTCATTTTGTTTGTTCGCGAAAAAAATATGTAGAAAAAAAATTTCTTACCTTCCTACAAAAAATTTCCTTCTTATTTGATCTTGACTCTCTCTCTGTCTCTCTCTCTCTCTATATATATATATATATATATATATATATATATATATATATATATATATATATATATACATATATAAGGAGTAGGATCAAATGAGAATATCTAAAAGGTTGAGAACGCGAGAACATATCTAAACCATCTAAATATTCAAATCTAAGACTATTATCAGACGGACCATTGATGTGAATTCTGAAAATTTATTGGTATTAAAGTGTAACTTTAAATGGTGAAAAGGGTATAATAGTAATTGAATCTTTATTTAATTTCTATAACTTCTCACATACTGATATCTTTCCTTTTAATTTGTTGTTTCTCTCTCTATACCTAGGGCACGCTTCGTCGCCTCCCTCATCTATTCATCGAGGCCAGAGGGGAAGGTGAGTGAATCAGCAAGGCTTCCCTCTTATCGTCCGGCTGCGGGGAGCAAATCCCAGGCGTCACAAGCAGCAATAGCTTTGAAGCGGGTGAGGTTTTTAGAGGTTTTGCTCGATTGGGGAAGGGGAGAAGTTCCAGAGGTTCAACCAGTGGGAAGGAGGGGTTCCGATGGGACAAAGAAATCAGTGAAGTGAGCAGCAACAGTGGAGATAGCGAGCCCTTTGCGGTGTTTTGCTCTGGTTGGTGGCAGGTAAATGGATGGGTTAAGAGGATCGTGTTCTTATATTGCGATATCATCTTCTGATTACTTTCATAATCGAAAATTTAGAATTACATTTACCTTCGACTAATTCCACTAATCCATGTGAGTTTCCTTGCAATTCTATTCATTTACTTAGAGTTAATGTTTACGAAGCCCTAATACGATTTTTGGTATCTGTTAGAGTTCATTATTCATTCAATTTACTTAAGAGTTTTTTTTTTGCCCATTTGGTGTTTGATAAAATGCCACAATGAACTCATTTTAGGATTAGGATTGGAATGATGGTCTCTTGTTTTCTTTTCCTCTTAGGAAATTTGAAGGATATTGCACTTAAAGTTCAGTTTTTTTTTTTCCTACAATCAAATTACGAACACCATTTGCTGCTATCCAACCGAATTACGAACATCAGGTTTGTTTATTGGGTCAAAAGACAAGACATATAAATTTGTTCATTGATCTATTCATCAATGAATAAATAAAAATGGCTTAAGACGTTAATCTCTTTTTTTAACTAACACCTTATTCAGTTATGAACACTAAATATCATAGATTGGCTTATTATATTTGATTAGTTTGTTCACTCATGTCTTATTCATTTATAAA